CAGCAACTCGAGGCAATTGATATGCCAACGTAGTTGGGGACCCGTCCAAACCCCTGACACTGCGTGCCTGTTGTACGTGGCCCCCCAGCCGGTGGCCGAGGCATCCGTGAATACCACAGCATGCCTGGATACCTGGTCCAGGGGCACTCCTGCCCGAGGAAACGAGGGATCTGACCACGGGCTGAAGGTTCTGCGGCAGGCTGGTGTAATCTGAACCCGGTGAGTACCGCATCACCACACCCACCTCGGGACTCGGCCATGGAGCCAGTGCTGAAGCAGTCTCATATGGAGCAGACTGAACGGAACTACCACCGCAGCTGCAGCCATATGCCCCAGGGGCCTCTGAAAGATTTTCAGTGGCACCGCCGTCCTGCCTGATAAAGTCTTGAAGCAGCTCAGCACCGACTGAGCACGTTCCTGGGTGAGCCGTACTGTCTGGCTGACCGAATCCAACTCCATGCCGAGAAAAGAGATCCTCTGCGTTGGCACAAGTTTGCTCTGTTCCCAGTTGACCCGAAGACCCAACTGGCTGAGGTTTTTGAGCACCAGGTCCCAGTGTGTGCACAACTGATCACAAGACTGTGAGAGTATAAACCAGTCATCGAGATAGTTGAGGATGCGAACCCCCCATTCTCTCAAAGGAACAACGGCTGCCTCCAAGACTTTGGTGAAAACGCGAGGCGACAGGGACAGCCCGAAGGGCAGGACCTTGTACTGATATGCCCGACCCTCTAACGCGAACCGCAGGAATGGCCTGTGCCACAGTCGAGACATGAAAATGAGCGTCCTTCAGGTCGATCACTACAAACCAATCTTCGGGACGGATGCACTTGAAAATGCGTTTCTGCGTAAACATCTTGAACGGCAGCTTGTGAAGCGCACGGTTCAAAACTCGCAGATCCAAGATCGGTTGTAACCCACCACTTTTCTTGGGCACAATTAAGTAAGGGCTGTAAAACCCCGACCTCATATTGGCTGGAGGGGACCGGCTCTATCGCATCCTTCTCAAGCAGGACTGCAATTTCCGCACTCGAAAGACAGGGGCATCGACAGCCTTGACTGAAGTGAACCAGATGCCCCTGAACTTGGGGGGATGCCGGGCGAACTGAATCGCGTAGCCGAGTCTGATGGTCCGCAGGAGCCACCGAGACGGACTGGGGAGCGCTAACCAGGCTCCGAGAGACCGTGCCAGAGGAACGAACGGAGCCACCAACGTACCCACAGTGGGGCAGCGTGGTGGAACACAGGGACTCGGCCCGAGGCTTGTGATGGCCTTGCCTGTGATGGCAGAGGGCGGAGTCTGGGTGTGAAGTGTAACACTCACCTGATTCCTCCCTGTGCGGGAGAAAACACAGGGTCCCGGCTTGAGGCTTATGACAGCCCGGCGTGTGAAAACATGAAGCGGGACTCGAATGCTACAGCTCTTACCTGGTTCCACGAATGGGCAACCCACTGCTGCCCACTGGCGAGAGAGGAGGAGGGAAGTGACCCTGTGATGCATAGTTCACAACTCTCCTCCTCTTGAGACCCAGAGATTGAGGAAACCGCTCTTTCATTTGAGGTTTTGGGAACAAAAAAAAAATGAAACAAAAGATTCTCCACCCGGCCCTCCTCCGGGGGCGGGAGTGGTGCGGTCACCATCTCCCGACAAGCAGTCTCCTCCATCAATGGGTAGCCCGTCTCAGGGCCTCTTGCACTTTTTCTTCCCGCCAAGTTTGGCGGGGGCCTGGACGGGCTGGGTGTCCTGTCTGCGACTGGGTCCACGACGCTGCCTGGTGGAAGGCTGTGCTGTTGCTGCGTGGGAGCAGGGGCAGCCGCAGGGGGGAGCCCACGGCGACGGGGCTGCAGCCAGGGTGGAAGCAGCAGGTTTCCTCTGGCGCATGATGTGTTTGATCACCTCAGTCTGCTTCTGTGCCGCCGAGAAGTGCTGGGCAAAGCTCTTGACAACATCACCGAAAAGGCCGGTCTGTGACACGGGAGCATTCAGGAACTGCAGCTTATCATGCTCCTTCGTGTCGGCCAGACACTGCCAGAGATGGCGCTCCTGGACCACTAGCATGTACATCGCATGACCCAGAGATTGTGAGGTCACCTTCGTAGCTCGAAGCGCTAGGTCCGTCGCAGCATGCAGGTTCATGTAGTACCGCCAGGTCATGGCCAGCCTCATGCAGGTCTCTCAAGGCTTTGGTCTCTCTGACTCCACCAGACGCAGCGCCGCCCTGATTGTCAGGACTAGCACTGCATCACGGCAGAGGCAGAGGGACCCCTCCACCAGTCTTTCATGCCACTCCGAGACGGTCATGTCCCCACAAATAGAACATGCACCATCCACAAACGCTTGATCAGCGTGCTCAACGCCCAGACACATGAGGCAGCGATCGTGACCGTCCCGAGGCGCCAGATAGCGACCGCACCCAGAAACGCACGGGTGATAAGATATCTTTAAAAAGACGCGATCACCAAATGAAACAAAAGATTCTCCACCCGGCCCTCCTCCGGGGGTGGGAGTGGTGCGGTCACCATCTCCCGACAAGCAGTCTCCTCCATCAATGGGTAGCCCGTCTCAGGGCCTCTTGCACTTTTTCTTCCCGCCAAGTTTGGCGGGGGCCTGGACGGGCTGGGTGTCCTGTCTGCGACTGGGTCCACGACGCTGCACACTAGCATGGACCACTAGCATGTACATCGCATGACCCAGAGATTGTGAGGTCACCTTCGTAGCTCGAAGCGCTAGGTCCGTCGCAGCACGCAGGTTCATGTAGTACCGCCAGGTCATGGCCAGCCTCATGCAGGTCTCTCAAGGCTTTGGTCTCTCTGACTCCACCAGACGCAGCGCCGCCCTGATTGTCAGGACTAGCACTGCATCACGGCAGAGGCAGAGGGACCCCTCCACCAGTCTTTCATGCCACTCCGAGACGGTCATGTCCCCACAAATAGAACATGCACCATCCACAAACGCTTGATCAGCGTGCTCAACGCCCAGACACATGAGGCAGCGATCATGACCGTCCCGAGGCGCCAGATAGCGACCGCACCCAGAAACGCACGGGTGATAAGATATCTTTAAAAAGACGCGATCACCCGTGTTGCTCTTTTAGAGATTGCTCTTTTTGTGCTGAAGCACGCAGGGGAGCTGGCCACCGCACACTCCTGGTGTGGCTGTCTGCACGAGGATGATCTTTTTTCCCTCCGCCGTGAGACCGTGACCACCGCTGCTGTGCTGTAATGCCCGCACTCGCTTGCTTCTCTCTGCAACCTGAAGTAGAGAGCAGTAGTGATGCACTACCGCTCTGCTCTGAAACGAAAGGATGAATTAATGCGGTGCACCTGCTGCCTCTTATACCCGTGCTGCGGGGTGTGACAGCCAGATGCAAAATCCGCATGCCATGTCCATTGACTCGTTTAGTTACACTCAAAGTGGATTGGTCTCTCTGGCGAGATCCCAATTCGTCGGTCATCACCGACGTGACGTCGAGAGTGACCGACTGAAAGGGAACAATGTATTTTGAACACTTAGTAGAAAATATATACATAAACAATTAATCTTACTTACAAGTTGTGATTCAGAGGAGCAAGTTGGTTCAAATAAAGTGGTCTAAAGACTATAAAGTCTTTAATAGTATTTTGGAAATCCTCGCCAAGATTTGAGAAGCAGTTGTCAGTAAAAATGACGGAAACGCAACAAAAGCTTACACTGCTGTGGTATCGCTGTGATAATTTAAACTACTGACTCTTCTCATCCTTATCCTTTGGAACTGTACACAAAGACAATTTGCTTTTGCAATGCAGAAAACAGCTTCTTCTTGACATGTCGACAACACAACAAACTAAAATGTTTAAGGGCAGGTCCAAGTAGACGTTGTTCCTGGGCTGCCAGTGAAAACTGCGGCTGGCATTATCCAATTTGTTACATACCTTAAGTTACGGAAATGAGACTGGAATTTCTGACAACTTGTTTCAGCAGTTCAGAATTGATTTTTGCTTTTGGGAGACAATCATTTTATTTGTCATGCACTTTGATCTTTAAAACTTTGCAGACCTTTTACATTCACAAACAGCTATATTACACACTACATAAAAGGTAATATTCAAAAAAGCATAATAGGGGGGCTTTAATTAGTAAATTAAAAATAGTGCAGAATCTTAAATATGTCTTTTTTAAATTTGCCATAATTCTGTTGTATATTATTTGGATACTTTTCATAAAAATTTATTTTGAGTTTTAAATTAGATTTTTTTTTTTATCCCAGATTTCCAGTGTCAACCACACAGTGTGTTTATGTGTGATGTTTTTACTTAATGTTGTAGTTTGTTCATCACCATCATAATTTGTGTGTGGAATGTTAAGAAACCTGTATACGGAATTGAAAAATTCAAACATCGATAAGAATAACAAATTTTTTCCTGAAAGCTAACACTTGAAGTTTACTAAATGTACAATGCATCACACTATTAGCATCTTTTGATGCACAATGGTCACGCAAACGGTTTGTTCTAGCTTCTGATGACTAACAGTTTTAATTCTTACACTTAGTAATTAGCTCCTATTTCGGAATAGGCTATGTAATAATGAGGACGCATTACCTTCAAATGTAGATCAGTATGCATGTGCAAGGAAATTCATCCCAATTAAATGTACCTTTTTATCTCTGTTTCTCACATGCCAGTGATTACCCCCATGCCAAGTTGCCGACCTCTGCTCTAGTGTTTAGGCATTTTATTCTTCTCCAGTTACTCCAATATCTCTAGAAAATGTTTATGTGATGTTGCTGCCCTGGACTAAAAGTCGTTGTGTACATTGTTTGCGTACAGTTGACGTCCCACACCTACCTCTAACTGAGATCTTCCCAAACCTTTTTTCTTTTCTGATCCCATTTAATCCTGATCTGTTCTTGCTCTTGTGTTTCTTGCTCTCCTGACCTTGTCTGTAACTAACATCAACCTTAATCCTGTTTATGCCTCCATCTCTGCTGCTTTCATCTACCTGTCATTTACACTTGAAGAAGGAGTCAACCCCTCTACACAAGCAGGAGGTATCTCTTTCTTAAGGTTCTTCTGTTGAACATGTTTTTGTCTAGAGCTGGTTTGTATGATAGTAATCTGCAACAGAAATGAATAAACCAGAAGAAGTTGTGCTGTATCATTAATACTGATACAGTGGAATATACATTTGCTTGGCATCAGAAAGTGATGTGTCTCAAACAAGTCAAGACAAGAATCAAACTATTCTCACTCTCAAGGCATCCAGTACTGCCACTATATAGACCATAATACACTGCCTGGCCAAAAAAGTCACTGTCTTGAATATGCAAATACATAAGATTTTAAGATTGAATAATTATTGCCTTGATTAATATGTTTCTTGCATGTTGTATGCTTGGCAACAATTATTTTATATAAAAATTATTTATCTTTCACATTTTCTTTCTCATCTGACTGAGGAACAGTCTAGGGACGTAATTGAGTTACTGTATGCCTTTCCTACCCTGTTTAAGGATGTGCCAGGTAGAACTACTGTGTGTGTTCACGACATTGATGTTGGGGATGCTGCCCCCATAAAGCAACATCCTTACAGAAGGATCGTAACAAGTGGGGGCTCATCTGGGGGTCTTGTTTCTTGCATGTTGTATGCTTGGCAACAATTATTTTAATCCTAACTGATGCAGTGCATGGATTTTCATTTCTCAAACAACCGTATTTGGAAAATGTACCCATGTCCATATTCCAGGATGACAATACCAAGATTATGTAATGTGCATTCATCGTGGCGTTGTTTCAACATCGTCATGCAACATCACAGGATTTATTTTCATCAAGAGTTGCATTAATTTTTAGTTGAGATCTTGAATTGACAATAGGAGAGTCAAACCATTCAGTAAAGTCGACTCCAGCACAGTGTTGCCAGATTGGGCGGGTTCACACTTAAGTTTACACTGTGCAGAGACAGCAACCTAAATTAACCTACTGTTGTCTGTCATTAATGTTTATTTATACACTGAAGACCAACCAGTGTTATTTTAAAGTTAAATAGATTATTCAGTGTAACAATGTTAATGTCTTGAGAAGGAAGAGGACAAAGTAAAACAGAATGTCGCGCTACCAGCGCTCAATATAGCACAATTGCACATGCACAATCGCAGGGCTCTCCAGAGCAGGCACAGTCTCTCCCCAGTCAGCAGTCAGTCTCTCTCTGCCTCACAGCTCTTTCCTGGGCCTCTTTATGCGGTCTCTCCATGCCAATTACTGGAACCAGACACAGGTGTTCGTCATTTGCATTTGATCCACTTACTCACCGCTCGTCTCCCAACTCTCTCTCACGCTGCAGACCTCGCTGAACAACGCCCCCCTCACCACATACCCCCACCGCCCGACTCAGGCCGGGGGGCCGTCCGGCCTGCAGCCCCCCCCCCCCCTCCTGGAGAGGAAGTCGGCCACAGCCATCTGTACACCCGGTCTGTGGACCACCTGGAACTTAAAAGGCTGTAACACTAGATATCAACGAGTGATCCACACGTTGGTATCCTTCATGCGGTGGAGCCACTGCAGAGGGGCGTGATCCGAACAGAGAGTGAATTCTCGTCCCAAGAGATAATATCGGAGGGTGAGGACAGCCCACCTGACGGCCAAACACTCCTTCTCTATGGTGCTGTACTTAGTCTCTCTCTTCGAGAGCTTGCGACTAATGTACAGCACCGGCCGTTCCTCTCCCTCTATCTCCTGGGACAGGACTGCACCCAGCCCTCTGTCCAATGCGTCAGTCTGCAACAAGAAGGGGAGAGAAAAGTTAGGAGAATGTAAGAGTGGCCCGCCACACAGAGCAGCCTTTACTTGGGTAAAAGCCTGCTGACACAGCTCCGTCCACTGGACCGGCTCTGGTGCTTCCTTTTTAGTGAGATCAGTCAGAGGGCTGGTGAGGTCCGAATAATTAGGCACAAACCTTCTATAATATCCCGCCAGCCCTAGGAACTGTCTCGCCTCCTTTTTGGTCTTAGGTCTCGGGCAAGTTGCAACCGCTGCAGTCTTATTCATTTGGGGACGCACCTGCCCGTGATCCAATTGGAAGCCCAGATACCTAACCTCCACACGGCCAACCGCACACTCCTTCGGGTTGGCCGTGAGTCCGGCCACTCTCAGCGCTCTCAGAACAGCCCTCACATGCTCCATATGACGCTGCCAGTCATTGTTATAGATGACGATGTCATCTAAATAGGCAGCAGCATATGCAGCATGGGGCCGGAGAATACGGTCCATGAGAGGCTGAAAAGTGGCCGGCGCCCCGAACAACCTGAACGGAAGCGTAACGAATTGGTGTAATCCAAACGGCGTTGTGAAGGCTGTTTTTTCCTTAGATACCGGCGATAAGGAGATCTGCCAATATCCTTTTGTTAAATCCAGTGTCGAATAAAACCGAGCTGTGCCCAGCCGGTCCAGCAATTCATCAATCCGCGGCATTGGATACGCGTCGAATTTCGACACAGCATTTACTTTGTGGTAATCCACACAGAACCGAACAGAGCTGTCCTGGCCCGAGATCATCTTCTCCACTCACTACTGTCGCCAGCATTACTGACTCCGCCTCGCTCCATTTTTTCAGGAGGTTGAGGTGGTAAATTTGACATGCCCTGCTCCTATCTGTGCGAACCACCTCATAATCGAGTTCTCCAACTTGCCGTGTGACCTCAAACGGTCCTTGCCACTTTGCAAGTAATTTAGAACTCAAAGTTGGGAGTAATACCAAGTACTTTCTCTCCCGGTGCAAATTTTTGTAAGCGGGTTCCCCTGTTGTACAGCCGGCTTTGTTTGTCATGGGCCTGTAACAAATTCTCCATAGATAGCCGCCCCAAAGTGTGGAGTTTTGTTCTCAGGTTCATTACATATTGAATTTCATTCTTACTTCGAGAAGGTCCGTCCTCCCAAGTTTCTTTCAGGACGTCTAAAACCCCTCGGGGCTGATGTCCATAAGGAAGCTCGAAGGGGGGAAACCCTGTGGAGGCTTGCGGGACCTCCCGCACAGCGAACAAGAGGGGTTCCAGCCATTTATCCCAATTTTTGGCGTCCTCGTGAACGAACTTCTGAATCATGGTTTTCAACATGCGATTAAATCGTTCCACCAGCCCGTCCGTTTGTGGGTGATAGACACTGGTGCGAATCGACTTAATGCCCGATAATTCGTACAGTTCGCATAATGTACGTGACATAAACGCCGTGCCTTGGTCAGTGAGGATCTCTTTCGGGATCCCCACTCGGGAGATTATTTGAAACAGTGCGTCTGCAACACTCTTGGCGGAGATGCCAGTGCCTCAGGATATCATGTTGCATAGTCTACCAGCACTAATGCAAAACGATACCCACTTGCGGATCGCTCTAATGGCCCGATGAGGTCCATCCCAATTCTTTCAAAGGGGACCTGCAACGGTAGAGGGCACAATGGCGCTTTTGGGGAGGGCGGTGGATTTACCAGCTGACATTCACGACAAGACGCACACCACCTGCGCACGTTCTCGTGAATGCCTGGCCAAAAGAAACGGATCTTGAGATGATTTAGTGTTGTTGTTTGACCTAAATGTCCAGCCATGGGAATACAATGAGCCGCCTGGAAAAGCATTTCCCGACGGCTTTTTGGTACTAACAGCTGTGTTGTATCTTCCTTTGTCTGAGCGTCTTGGGTCACTCGATACAACCGGTCTTTTTTTTTTTTTACTTTGTCTGTCCAGATTTCCTGAACAGAAATGCATCTTTGACACTGGCATAGAAAATACATCCTAACAAATAATACTACACATTCACATATCACAAAAAAAAAAAATTATTTTTTTAAAAAATGTACATGCAGAGACATGTGTACACACACCTACCCAGAAAGATACCTCATGATAATACCTCAATTAAGAATTTTGTTTAAAACAGTCACCACCAATGGTACAAATGATCTTTTATATAGGTTATTTTTAGCCAGCAGTATATGCAGCCTGCGCCCTGAAGGAAGGGCCTTAAAGCAGGAATGAAGTGGATGAGTTTGGTCTGAATAGACTGCAATCGCCTTTTTTTCCATAAAGTGTAAAAACAGCTCTTGCATTGTACCCTGTTTCTGGCCGATTATCCTATTTGCTTCATTAATTACTCGTGTTAATTTATTTTTCTGTTTCATTGTTAAATTGCCATACCATGATACAATATTATATGTTAAAATACTTTCAATCATCGATCTATAAACAATGGTTAAGACCCTCCTATCGATGCTAAAATTTCAATTATTTTTTTAAAAAATGTACATGCAGAGACATGTGTACACACACCTACCCAGAAAGATACCTCATGATAATACCTCAATTAAGAATTTTGTTTAAAACAGTCACCACCAATGGTACAAATGATCTTTTATATAGGTTATTTTTAGCCAGCAGTATATGCAGCCTGCGCCCTGAAGGAAGGGCCTTAAAGCAGGAATGAAGTGGATGAGTTTGGTCTGAATAGACTGCAATCGCCTTTTTTTCCATAAAGTGTAAAAACAGCTCTTGCATTGTACCCTGTTTCTGGCCGATTATCCTATTTGCTTCATTAATTACTCGTGTTAATTTATTTTTCTGTTTCATTGTTAAATTGCCATACCATGATACAATATTATATGTTAAAATACTTTCAATCATCGATCTATAAACAATGGTTAAGACCCTCCTATCGATGCTAACATTTCTTAGTTTCCTGAGTAGACCGTCTTGCTTTCTTGTGTATATGGTCCACATTTTCCTGGAATGAGAGTTTGTCATCAATGATTGTACCTAAATATTTAAAATTTGAAACTTGCTTTACCTTTACACCTTTTATAGTAATTTGTTCATATGAGACACCAGCCGTACCGATCCTATTTTTGTTCCCACAGCATAGTTCCTTTGTCTTCTCAATATTCAATTGTAAGTGACTATCATCAAACCACTGAACAAGACTTTCAATATACTCAAAATAAGTTAAACTATTCATGTCCAATTGGCAAGAGATTAAAACCAAATCATCAGCATATTTGATCAGGGTGAGA